TTCGATTTAACTTCATGTAAATAGTAATGGATAAGTTTTGTAAGTTTTTTATTTTTATAATTCTATAAGTCATTGAATAAACTCAACAGTGGAATATGCTCCTTGAATGGTTATTAATTTGCAATAAGACAGCAATAATTGGCCTGAGAGTAATATTCTTATCAAATTCGATAAGAGTTAGTTTAAATAAATCTTATAGCCTAAGCTTCTTGCCCTTAAGTGATTCTCACTAATCTAAATACAGTATATCTTCTCATAGTGACGAGTTTCTTAATATGATCACTTCTGAAAGAGACCACTTCAAGGGAGACTAAAATCTAGAATAATCGTTGGTCGTTCCTGAGGGTCTACTGAACTTAGAAATGACAATTTTCCTCACTCATTTCTAGTAAAAACTGGATTTTAAAGTACCTTTTAATTATGATAATTCTGTACTGCTCTTGTCCTCATATTATTGTAATAAGAATGTAATATCAGCATAATGTAGTCACATGAGCTCTGAAACGAAAATCTAAAATGATAATCAAAAATCATTTTATTTTTTAAAAACATAAAATTTGTTCCACTTCCCACAATAATAATAAGAAAACAATCAGTATCACTTTTCTATTCTAGATTAACACTAGTTTTTAGTTCAAAGGGGCAATTTGCCCAGAAGGACGATTAATTTCGTTTTAGCATTTTACGTTGATTCACTATAAGCGTTCTTTCACTTTTCAAATTGTTGCCATCAAATATCGCCTTGTATTATACTTAAAAAAATTAAATAATGAAGACTCTGCATAAATGTATGAATGTTTCTCGCATTGTGATAAAACAACGGTACCTAGAGCCATCCAATTTTGAATAACGTAATCCTTCTGCGAATATGGAGATCTGGAAGTCCAAATTTGAAATTTTGAATTTGTTTTATTATCGATTTCATATTCTGTAAAACTTTAACAAATATTTTATTAACAAACTCAAGGATTTCAAAGCGAGCAATGGCAACGTTGTACAGAAAAAACATTTAGCGCACGAGACTGTGTATCAGAAATTCTAAAGATATGCTCATTTTAAAATTATTTTGCGATATTGCTCTTGAACTGAATTTTATGGTTTAATGGTTTAATTGCGAAGAACACGATATTTAATAAATAAAGGTAACACATAAAAAAAAAAAAAAAAAAAAAAAAGCCTCTTTGGAGGTATCTAAATCAAAAAAAAACAAAAAAAAAAAAAAAAAAAAAAAAAAAAAAAAAATCAGAAAGGTAAAATCGGAAACTTTTCTGATTTTTGTTTTTTTTATTATTCATTTTAAATAACATCTAATGCAACCTGAAGTTGCCTACCGTTGTTCAAACTTTTAATTATTGAAATTTCTTTCCTTAAGAGGATCTGAATAATTCTTTGAAAACATTTATTTCTTAAATAACCTAAAATGATTATATAACAATGAATGTCGCGTAACATTTACCGAAGAAGCGCAAAAACAGAACTGAGCCGTGTCATATAACTCTACCTAGCACAATATAGTAGATGAAGGAAAAACGGAAAAACATAAGATACTTATTACACGCAAAATAACAACGGGTAATTTTCCATCAAGTTAGGGTTGCATATGATTAGAGTTTAATGCTTCTTGAACAAATCAACTTTGAAATATAACCTAATAAAAGCAGTTTTTTTCTTTTCCTTTTTTGTTTTGTTTTTTTCTTTGAATGGTTAACCTACATAAACAAACGACAGGTTGTTTATGCAAGGCAACTTATAAACGTTACTTAAAGTTAGGCCTTTTTTCCTGATCGCCATGTTCAACAAAATATATAAATAAATGAATAAAGCAAAATAAAATCCGAAAGCTTTCAGATTTTATATTGCGCCCAAAGTGGCGTTTGTTTTAACGTTTTGTGTGTTATCATTATTTTTCAAATATTATGGTCTTCGCATTTAAACCACGTAAAATTCAATTCAACAGCAATACCGCAAAATATTTAAAAAAATAGCATATCTTTAGAATTTCCGATAAACAGCCTCGCGCGCTGGAGATAAGAAGACTCCCCCCCCCCGAATAGTGTTGCCATTACTCGCTTTGAAATCGTTGAGTTTGTTAATCAGAAATTCGTTAAAGATTTACAAAATAGGAAATGGATAATAGAACAAATTCGAAATTCAAAATTCGGGCTTTCAGGCGTCCATGTTCGAGTGGAGGATTCTATTCAAAATTTTATGGCTCTAGGTACCGTCATTTTTTCACAATGCGAGAAACGTACATACATTCATACAGATTCTTCATTATTTAATTTCTTTAAATATAACACAAGGCAAATTATATATTTGGTGGCCAGCAATTTAAAAAGTAATTCGCCGTTTGTAGTGAAACGCCATAAAATGCCGTTTTGAGAGTAATATCTCTCCTGAGTTACCGCCCCCTTTGGGATAAAAAAAGATACTGTTGTATTTTTACATTTACTCGTAAAACTCGTATGTTTACATTTTAACTACGCATTCTTTTAACATAAAAGTATTACAGAAATTTCCCTTAACGGGCAAAAAAGGTAAAATGCGATAAATTTTGCAGCTCTACATGTTTACCAGCAAACTATAACGCTACAAGTGCATTATTGTTTCCACATAAAATTCATATCGTGTCTGGTATTTAAAAAACCGAAAAAGAGCTTTTGTATTCTTATCCTATATGCCAAAATTTTGATGTTAGAAACATCTATAGCTTAGTGCTTTCCTATCCCCTCCCCGTCATTTTACATCAACTACGTTACGTTAACAACCCTCGCATTCATTATATATGCCGCCTGCAGCCGGGCAGATCTCCAATGGAAATTCACTGCCATTTCACGTAACACAAAATCTTTATTAACCATGCATACGGCTGGGCAAACTGCCAGTTCTTAAACATGTTGCCAATTCGATACAAAACACTGCCTTTAATTTACCTACAAAATTACAGTAGCACATGTGTGAGGATTTTTTACCTCCCTTAGAATTCTAAAATCGAGTAGTAAATTACATTTATAGAAAAAACACGTTGATAGCTCCTGTTTTGCATATGATATTTACAGGTAAGATAAAGACTGCTTATAATAAAATTCATATTTTAATTTGTAATATGCCCTTTAAGTTTCCTTTTTAATGTGTTTGTTTCCCTTTCGATGCTAAAAATATTAACATAAACTGCGCCATTTGAAAATTAAGCTTAGTCATATGATTCTTAGATGACGCTCATGATGCATGTATGTACTTACATGAAGCTTCAGCCAATAATAATATTAAAAGTTTCAAAATTTAAATCTTAATTAGTCAATCGGAATAAAGTAAAACCGTAAATGTATTGTTCTTAACCTAGCCTTCGTGTTAGAATCCATGTATTTCTTCTCTCTTTTGTTGCTCTCCTAACATGTCGCCGCTTACCTGTCTTACACCAAATAAAAAATATTATAAAGATCTGAAAAAACACAAACGTGATTGTTAAAGAACAGGCGCATGTCTCGAATGTTTTTTAACAATAAAAAGAGTGTTTAGTCGGCTTTGATTGCTGATACATCTATATGCAGAAGCTCCGTTATCATGTCATGCACTTATGTTCATTGCATCAAAAATTTCATTAAACGCATATAACAGATTATTTGAGAATCTGTTTTTCGGTAACGCTGCATATCAGTTTTTATCTTTGTCTATAACACGTGTGCTTTGAGCAAATTCAAATTCCATTCTTGACGCAAACGGAAACATTCCATTTACAATTACAGCTAAGATGTTGCCAACACTTTTAAAACGACAGAAAACTCTATTTTGCTTCGAAATTTACCCTCTCCTTTAAATCCAAGGCTAACCTAATGATTAGATTCCATCTTGAAATTGTTGATTTACGTCAGGTAACAGATACAGCATTCCTCGCAATTCATATGCTTCACCATCCAGGCATAAACCTTCCACAGAATGCACCAGCTGCATTTTAAAATGTCTTCTACAAAGTATATTTGCAGAATGCTCCGGTTAAAATATTCTCAAGTTCCAGCACGTGCGCATCCAAAGACAGCGCCTCGCTGTGGGGGCAATGCAAATTGAAATTCTTCGTCTGGTTTGTTCAAGGTCGTGGTTAGTTAACCTTGGTGAAAATTCAAATTCTTCTCGCTGTTTCAAGAGCAGCGAAATTACCCACTTTCCCTAAGTTCTAATTCATGTTAGGAAGAAGAAAAGAAAACACTTTTCTATTAAAATGAAATAAAAATGCACGTTTGATACTTCGTCTTGGCAAAGTTTCCGTGTGGAATTCCAGAAGATTCAATATTACGTTCCAATTGAAACCGTCATCTTTTAAATTAGGTAACTTGCCCTTGGATACTTCTTTTGTTTCTCTTTTCTTTTAAATTTATTATTACTCAACACCTTGAAGCAAACCTCTTCGAGGTCTTTACTGTTTTCAGTTCGCGGAATTCGAATCCTGGGAAACAGAAAACATTGCCCCTTAAGAGAAATATTTGTTGCAAGCCTTGTGAGCGAATCCAGTGAAATAAATGCACAGCTACGTCTTGAATAATTAAGTGTCTTTTTATTAAATTATTTCCCAAATTTCACTTGGTTTTATTTACGATAAAAATCATAAAACGTTTTTATAGTCTGGCTTTGCTATTTTGAACAGCTTATTCTAAATTTAACATTTTAGGTTTTACATCTTTAACCTTGGACCAAGTATTTCTTAAACTAGTAGGCTTATTGTAACTGCTCAGTCTGAAGTTGTTTCAGATACTAAAGAGATACCTGTAAATCAAGATCAGGTTGTAGTTCTGATAATGAAGTTTTAACTGTAAACATTTCCAGTCGTTCGATCGTAATCTGAAATTTTTCGACTGCAGTTTCTTCAAAAATTTTTGTTACTATTTTTTCGTGTTTATAGTTCGTCGGCAGAACATACGCAATAGCTTGATAAGATAAAATTCTGAAAACAGAAAAGTTTCACTCCTCTCAGTTCATCGCAGTTAGAAACAATAGTAAAGATAAATGAAGATATGAGCAGCTATCAGTTGGGATATTTGGGACCTTCTTCAAAGCACTTAAAAAAAAATTTTCTTTGAAGTCACGCTACAGTACAGATAGAAGGTAAGTCAGCACTTCTACGGTAAAACAGGTATTTGAGGTAATGCTAAACCTAATTAACTGTTAAGCTTTCGCCCAAGTTTTAAGGAAGAATACACAGAGGGGCTGCCCGATGATCTCCCAGCCCTCTTCCCCTACCAGTAACCTCTGGACAGAGCTTTTGGCTCGCCGTGTATTTTGAGTGCTCTCTTGCCTCACAGACACTATACGCCTATAAACATTTATGCCATTGCGGGAATTCGGGCCCATCGATTGACAGATCAAAGTGAAAGAATTTCCTTGTAAGTTATAAGACAGCAGATATAGTAAGATCTCGACAACAAAGAACAGCAATTTAATTTAATTTTGTACGTATTTCCATGCAGAACGCTTCGTCGCATATACAGGCAAGTAAAGTTAATACTACGAATATTATAACGACTTCATGGGGTTCATTATAATTTAGTTGGCCAGTGGCCGAGTAACAAGGTAATACTGGCAATTTTACTCGAGTTCGATGCTTAGAGAATGACTGCATGAGGTTTCAATAAATTTTTCCGTGAGTAGCGTGAGTATCACCTAGTTTCCCTCAGAAAGTCCTCCATGTCACTGAAGACTGGCAATTCAATTGGGGAGAGGGCGAGTAATGGCAAACCGCACATTGAGTTGATCAATGTTAAAGAATTTCGCTTACTGCGCATACTCAATGGTGTACCGTTGGCTTGGGAGGAAATACTGGCGACTACATAAACCCTACATAAACCTACATAAACCTGCATACCCTACATAAACCTGTTAGTCATGTTGGTTTTACTGTTTACAATTGAAATACTACGGAAATCTGTGTGTGCTTATTGCATGTGCTTCTGTTTCATTTCTTTTTGGTTAATTTTGTTTATAAACATAACATTTAATATCAGTTATTTGACTTTAATTCAGTAATTTAAACTAGATTTCTTCCTTAATTTTTTAAAGTATATAGGAATGGAACGTATGGTAAATACTCAATTGCTTTTATGCCTCAGAAGTATAATCAATAAGCATTCAGCTAATATATCTTGTAATGTTTCCTGTTCTGTAATCCTTCTTAAACTAAAATTTACGTAGTTTACAATCGATATTTAACCCTGTATGTAATGAAGCAACTTACAACCTAACAAGTTTTAAAACCCCGAACTATTTACGCCCAGATAACACAATATTAACCATATACCGTACTTATCTTCTTTTAAAATTGCACAAAAGTTCTAATTGCACGAAATTCTATTCTGGGCATTCGCACTAAGCGAAATTCGTTTAACATTGATAAACTTTATGTGCGGATTGCACATAACATGTTATGTAATTGGGGCTCGAATCCTGACGAACGGGGGAGCTGGCTGCATTTTCGTCATCTTCCACATGTGTAACGTGGAAACGAGCTCATAAACCAAATCAAACCATCCTTTTAAAATAGATAGCTCTCGCAAGTTTAGAAATAACTGATTACGTGTAAATTGAGTTTGATTTCATTAATAGAGCAAAGTAAGCTGGAAATTTACGGGAGACGTCTCAAAAGCTTGATTCGAATCAAAGGTTAAGCACACGTGGTTAGAATAAAAAAAATACTTCTCTGGAAGCAACAAAAATTCGCTTGTATATTCATTTAACTGAAGGGGAAAAAAAAAAAAAAAAAAAAAAAACACACCATCCTCGAGCGTAGTAGTTAAAATTACGAAATACAAGTCTTTCACTTTACATTCTACTCGTATTTATGGTGCCGGAACGAAGTTATTACACGGATATTTTTGCATTGCTGTTCGTGTATAATATAAAAATGAGCCAGCTCCCTTTAGACCAGAGTTTTTAAACTTTGCTTCGTGACTTGCAGCAGGGGTTCGCCAAAAATTTTAGCAGTTTTGTTATTTCTTTATTTTATTATAATAATTTTACAATTACCAAATATTTTTATACCATGTATCCGAAAACAGATAAAGATAAGACAATATAGACAAAGAAAAAACGACAACGTTTCGACAAATTCTTTTTATCATATTCAACTAATTCAAGAACTTTTTATAATATTCAATACAACGCTCATTTTACTTGCTTCGCACGTGACGCTGTCATTTCGTCTGTTACTTATTTAAAATTTTTATATTGTTTTATGTCTTAAAATAAGAAATTAAAGTTGACCTAAAATGGCCTAAAATTGCAATAGTCTATTACAGTACAAGTGTAAAAATTGAGGGCTTTACAATTACATCTGATTTTGAAATAGACATTGTTGTATTCTGTCTGTTTCACCGTTTAATAAATAACCGATTTTATCCCCTACCAGCAAGAAGGCCGGTGCTAGGCATTTTTCCGTACTGTGGTATTTCCGCATTTTTCCGTATTTCCGTATCCCTGCGGGTGGTAACTGCTGTTGCGCGGTGCCTCTCTAAATTCTGAAAAGGTTTACTCTCCCAAATTCTAAAAAATCTTGCCATTCCTAAATTTTGCAGCCCCTAAATTTTGTTGGCCGGTGCAGCCGCAGACCTTGGCCATCAATGTCTATGGAAAAGCATTTATCGAGGTTATGCAAATTCAGTAACGATCTTAAAAAAGAGCTCAAACTATTTGAATAAACAAAAGCTGTGTCTCAAATTTATAATGCCCATTTCTGTTGCTCAATAAGCTACTCAAAATCTGATGCGTAAAGTTGTAAGAAATTAAAGACATTCTTTCTCTTGTATAGCCCTCAACAACGGCATCCCTTCCCTTAGAAAGATAGCCCTCGCGTACTTTGTCCTGTCCGAATAAACTACACAACGCTAACTTGATTTTAACTTTGTAGAGGTCAGCACATCCAACAAGCAACTGTTAAGATTGAGATCACTGCTCATCAAGAACATAGCTGATTTTTCTGGATTTACATCAAGTAGTACTTCCTCTGTAGCTTCTTTACATAATTCAAACTCATCTTAAAAAAAAAAAAAAAAAAAAAAAAAAAAAAAAAAAACACTCTAAAATATAAGTACCTAAGGAAATTAAAGTATGTTATAAATAGAAAGATACGCCATTCTATTAACAGATAAAAATTTAAGAACTGTTGAGTTCAAAAGTTTATAGTGTCAAAGAAACTTTTGTAGCGTGCATATTCTTTACAATATCCGTTTGGTTCTTGCTAATAAAATTAAGGCCAGCTTGTCTCTTGTCTCTATCAAAAATGCAGTTTTTCCGCTTGCTTTATAATTATAGAAAACCATTTCGTGACCACAGCTTATAATTAGCCTTACTTATCAGTCTTTCCGCTTGCTTATAAAAAACTCTCTCGCGACAACCACTTAATGAAAGTAACCAAAATTTCTGGTCAATTTCAGAGTGATATCTGAATAATTATAGTTCATTTCGGGTTAAGCCCACCAGCGGCCGAGCGGTAAAGTCGCTGAACACTGGTAGTTCGGTCCGAATCCCGCGAACGGGCTGGCTGCATGGGTGTTTTCGTGGTTTTCCCCATGTGTAACGTGTGTACGAGCCAGTTTCCCTTAGAAAGTCCTCCACGAAGGCATCCCTCCCCTTAGGCAGATAGCCCTAGTGTGCTTTGCCATAATTAAATACACAACACACCATTTCGGGTTAAATGCTCACTTTCAGAAACGGTCGTGTTACGAAGATTGAACATCGGAAATTTTGGTCGTATTAGAAGGAATAGACATCGAAAATACATGGAGAGGTCGTCTTAGAGAAATGATGTTCAATACTGATAAACAAACATCCCTACTGAGCATTAGTTCTCTAAGAGAACCCTCTCCATAGAAGAGCGTTGGCGGAAAGTCGAGCGGTTTAATTTAATTTGATCTAGAAGAGAAATAACAAAAAACAAACAAATTATTACTAAGATATACTTTGAACGAAATTTCTTTTTTATCCACATCCATCCCGAAAATTCATATATGCGAGTTTTATCCTTCTAGGTCTTTCGTTAATCATTTATGGAATGCCTCAAGATGAATATATTCTTGATTGCTTTTAATTCTAGTTGGAAGAGATGGATTTGTACTTTTGCCATTGTTGCCACTTTTAGAGAAACTTTCTTTGCCACTCCCTTCAATCACCACTACGTCACTTTCCCACCGCAAGAAGACGATGATCTTTACCTCTAGGGCGAATTCAACCTTTCGTGATCAGGTTACATTAGCACAACGCTCCTCTTTGGACCAGAACACCGGATTCCAAGTCTGCGACAGCCTTCGCATGCATTGCTTTTCCCACCGAAAAATGACGAGCTGGCAAAGAATATGAATTTTAAGTATAGCGCATGTTTTGGCTACCTGAAAGCCTTTCTTAAAATACCGCCTGTTTTATTTTTTAGCCAGTTTCTGTCATTAAATAATTCGTGCATATCGACAGCTAACTAAGGTTATTAAACTTGGCGCATTCGTGTTTTGGATTGTTGCACTTGGTAACGTCCACTGTCATTCATATCAATCAGAAACCAACTTTATTCTGTTTGACACGATCCCTTTCCTATTATTTAGCATTGGTCGGATTAACTAATTCTATCCTACCGTGAGCGACATGTGTCTAAAGGATGGATACAGTCACAGAGTATTTATAACTACTAAAGTCCCGTACATTTAATCATGTCCTCTATTGGAACTGCAATTAGTACTTAAATACACAAATCCCAAAGAAGTCGTTTTTAAATGCCGTTTAAAATTTTTAATACCTAATTTTCGCCTACTTCAATAATTTTACTAAAATTAGGCATTACAGAACATTTTTACATCTAACATTCAAAATATTGCTTAATTAAAAATTTTTACGGTTCCTCCAGCCTCCTACTCCCAAATAAAAATATAAAATAAGCTGCCCAAAAATGGTTATCAAACAGGGTCTCTTCTCTATAAGTAAGTGAGCTGCAGGGAGAGGACAGAAAAGGAAATAATCAGTAATTTAAAATATAATTTCCTCTTAAATTATCATTAACTAAAGCAATAAAGCTTAGGCAAAATTTATAAGGTATTTCTCCCGCCTTCTTAGCATGCAATCGAAGAAAATCCTGTCTAATTTAGTTGAAAAGCTAGCTAAGATATTTTTTAAACAAGTATCCTTCTTTACGGGATATATTTCTTTGAACATAAGACTTTGTAACAGAATTATTTCCTGTTCTTAATTTACATTTCCTATCACTATTTAGCACTCTGAGCGCGTATTCCAAAGATTCGTGGTTCGGTTCCCGGCGAAGGCGTTGCTCATTTTTCATCTCTCCTGCTTCCAAAAAATACCTAATGACTCTAAAGTGGCGCACGAATTTTTCCGAACTCATGGGTGACAACGAAGCTGCAACTGAGCTAGCTCCATCGACATCGCAAACTCCACCTCGGTTATTTCGTTGGAACAATGAGGGCTACCATGAAATCCGCAGTGACATTTGACGGAAGAACGTCGGCTCAGGTAAACTCGATGAAGTTCGCAAAAACGGGTACCCGCGTGTAGACGCTAGCCCGGCGTAATGATTCCGACTTTCGAATCTTTGTAATTTCGAACAGTTTATAATTCGTGTCGAAGAAAATGAAAGTTCAGGACAGTTCATAATCTGAGTGAGCACGTAAATGAGTCCAACAGAAACACACCTCCGGTGCAGGCCATGACGAAGGTAAGTGCGCATATAAGCAAATGACGTGGAGAAAGAATTTAAAAAAAAAAAAAAAAAAAAAAAAAAAAAAAAAAAAAATTGCCTAAAGCTCTCTGAATTTGAGAGTCTCTCGTGTGTGAAGTTTACATAGTAGGAGTAAATAACATAAAATAGCAATAGACATAAAAGGCATAGTTAAAAATATAATATATACAATATATACAGGTCAAATATATACAACATAAACAGCAACACCAGAAAATCAACCAGTATGAGATAGTGTGTAGATATAATTAAGGTTGGACAAATAGGTGAATGAGTAATTTGAAAGACAGTTACTGATCGAGATATCTGAGGACTGCAAGCGGTCGTTTTCTATTGCTTTCTTTGTGATAATCGTAATTAAGCACTGGGATAGTGCTGTTGCTAACATTTGGGATATTTTTATAGAATTTTTCTGCGGGATTAGCAAAATGAACATATAACGTTGGTATCTCAAGCTCTTGATGAACTGCCGAGTTTCTGATGAACCATCGACAGTTCGCCGCTTGTCTGAGTAATATATTCTGCAGTATTTGAAGTTTCTTTACATTAGTAATACTAGCATATACCCAAACAGGACAGGCGTATGAGAGTATGAGACGCAAAAGGGTCTTGTAAATGAGCAATTTGTTGTCAATAGAGAGAACTGAGTTCCGGCCAATTAAGGGGGTAAGCGTTCGTTTACGGGCACGGAACTTGGCAATAATCTGTGTAATATGTAGGGTCCAGGTGAGTCGCCTATCCAAAGTAATTCCAAGGTATCGGGCATACAGTCCACTGAATAGGGATGTCATACATGTGGATGCAGTCTTCGTTATCGATGGTAGTACTTTTGGTGAACCAGACGGCCTCAGATTTGTCCACATTAATCTTTACTTTCCAGGCGTTGAGCCAGGACTTAAGTGCATGGATGTGTGTTTGGAGTGCTTGTATAACCGGGCCAGGAGATGCATTTTTTGAGAGAATTGCCGTGTCATCGGCGTACATTGCAGGGTGGTGTGTGGTGATTGTGGGATATCGTACGTGTAGATATTATAGTAAATGGGCTCAAGGAGGCTCCCTTGCGGGACGCCAGCCTTGATAGCCCGTGGGGTAGAATATGAATTGTTTACACGAACGATAAAGTGTCTATCCTTAAGATAGGAGTAGGTGATGGCTGTGATGTACTCTGGGAAACCCAGAGTGATGATTCTGTACATGAGACCCTCAAGCCAAACGCGATCAAAGGCTTTAGCTACATCGAGGAAAAACGTCGGTCACTAGCTTTCTAGAAAATTTAGATAACCATTTTTTTGCTTTATTCCGTTCCCGAAGTCCAGAAAGTTACTATAGCAACGACCGCCTTACGAGGACAGGCATTAAGCTAGTTTAAAGGCATTGGTAATTTTCGTTTGGGAGAGATAGCAAACCCCACATATACGTTCGAAAATTTTAAAGCTGCTCTGGTAAAAGCTTTCCCCGTGATTAAAGACAGAGCTAGGCTTGAGGTCGAATTGTACGGCCTTGAGGTCGAAAACCGTGTTTGGCTAGCCAGCGCACGTTAAGTTGTTGTTTCGCTGTTATGCTAGTAAGCCTCTTGGACATATCGGAATTATCATCACGCCTGTTAGGTTTTTGTTAGTCCACCTGCTAGGCGCAACTTAAGTGCTATCTAGCACTACTTATTTTAGGTTTGACTTGAATTATTTTCTACGTTTTTAGTTTCATCGCAAATTTGACGCACAAAGACCGTACCCTTCTGTTAACTATTTTAAATTAATAAAGGGTTACTTTCTGTTTCTGTTAACTATTTTAAATTAATAAAGGGTTTTTAAATTAATAAAGGGTTTCTTTTGCGTTGGTAGTTTCTTCACGCCTTTGCGATAATTCGCCAGGTCATTGTAGCATCTAATCTATTTTATGTGGAACAAGAGAGAACGACCCTACAAATTGTTTAAGACAAGCATGAAAAAATAAATATATTCCACGTTGCGAACGAATTCATTATTTATCGCTAAAACTCAATAAATTCCAACCAGAGGTCTCCTCGTTAAAAAATAAAAAAGAAAATAAAATATAACATCGTATAAAAATACCTGAAAGTCTTTCCAGTAAGAAACCAGAGGTTTCCTTAGAAAGAAATACAGATAAAAATAAAGAGTAAAATATGAAAAAAAAATATCCAAAACTTCTAGCTATTTCTTACAGGCCTCCTTAATAGCTAATAAAGATGAAAATAAATGGTAAAATAGAGAAATAAAGATGAAAATTATAAGGTACTTTCCAGCTCCTTTCCGACATGCCTTCGTAGTGTAACTGAAAGCATACTCGAAGCGTATTCGAGAGGTCCAGGATTCGAGTCCCGCAGAGGGCACTGCGCATTTTTCACGTCTCCTGCTTTAAAAAAAAAAAAAAAACCTAATGACTCTATACAATAAATACAAAATTTGAGAAAACCCAGTAAATGTTTTGTGATTTGTTAGCCAACTTGTTTACATTGTCCGATTTCATTTTGCAATAAATTGATATCGAAGAAAATCCTGTCTAATTTAGCTGGAAAGCTAGCTTCGATATTTTTTAAACAAGTTTCCTTCTTTACAGGATATATTTCTTTAAACATAAGATTTTGTAACAGAACTATTTCCTGTTCATGATTTATATTTCCTAACACTGTTTATTCAAATGCAGGTTCTGAACTTTTAGTGTCAAATTTATCAACTCTTATTAGCATAACAGCTGAAACAACTGTTGTAAAGAAGGAAAATAAAATAGCAGAATTGTGAAGAAAATCATTAAAGAAGGTCAAGGTGCCGATGATGAAATCAGAAGACCTAAAGGTTAGGTATGCGGTTCCAGATTACATTTTCCTTCCTTTTATATTCAAAACCTTTTTATCTAACTACTACTTATGCAACTAAAGAGTACATTATGTTCCGTTATCACGTATTTAAACATTGATTTTCTTTTAACAAAAAAAGTCTAAGCGCTTGAAACATGAGTGATTTTTTTTTTTTTTTTTTAACTATTTAAAAAGTGTTTAAATAAAATGAATCTAACCGATATAATTTATAATATATTTATTTTATATAATTTACAAAATATGCAACTGATAATTTTTTAAAAACATTTGCACCATTACAATCAATAATAAAAGACATTTTAGCTATATATTAATTTACCTTGGCGGAGAATGATAGTTTTGCTTTATAATGAAACTCCTTTCCTTTCTCTTTCAATTAAACATCGATTTTGCTAATTAAATAACTGTAAAATTTAAGATTCTGATTTTTTACTCAAAGATCTCGAAGGAAACATTTTAAAAAAATGTCGAGATCTTAGTTTTCAGGTCACAAATCTAACGTCTTGGAAAAATGGAAATTATAATCATTTCTTCTTATTCTTTTTAGCCCTTGGTGGCCCTGGCCTTCTCCAGTCATCTCTACTCTTGGCAACTGTTTTCCAGTTTTTAACCCTTTAACTATTAAGATCTTTTTTCGACTAGCTGGTGTCTGCCCTTAGGTCTATTTCCCGTAGGCTTTGCCAGAAAGATTTTCTTACAGCAACGATCTTCATTCTTTCAAGCCAGATGGCCAGCCCATTCTCTGAAATTTGACGAATTTTACAATATCAGGTTGTTTGTATATTTTATAGAGTTCTAAATTAGATCTTCTTCTCCATGATCCATTCACTTGGACCCCACCAAGAATGCAACGCAAGATCTTTCGGTCAAAAATTCCCAGAGCTTCCTCATCCGTAAAGTCAATGCCCGAGTCTCTGATGCATAAGTCAAGACAGATATTATAAGACTTTTGTAAAGAAGGAATTTAGTTCTCAATTTAAGAAAGCCGGATTTCAGATAACTCTTCAGATCATAAAAACATCTATTTGCAGCAATAATTCTTTTATATATTTCTGAGGCCAACACATTTTAATAATTTATCTCTGTTCCCAAATAAGTAAAACTGTTAACAATCATTTCATTCGGGCGAAATATTTACTGCAAACCTCAACCGTAGGCGACCCGATGAAATAAACTTAAAATGACTTGAATAGTTACAGCTTTTCTTTATTAAATAAGTGCACAAATCCCCTCTGGCTTTGCTATTTGTAACAGCTCATTGATCATCCACGCACTAGATGATCCTGGTCTTCCAAGGAAGTTGTCACAGAGAAGTGACACTCAGTACCAATGTTTACTTATGTTCTTAAAAAACAGTGCTAACTTCAGGGATGGTACTCTAAAGGAGGTGGTTGCTGTAAGACTTTTCATTATATAAGATTTTATGCTGTATAACTTACTTTCTAGGAGACTAATGCTAAAATATTAAGCTTATCGTAACTAATTCAGCTTAGAATTCATTCAGGCGTTAAACTGAAACTATATATCAAGATCAGATGGTATTTTTTTTTAAACTTATGGTTTTTATGCTTTTCAAATATTAAAATATTTTTTAACTTTTTAAAACTTGAATGGTAACTTCTTCGAGATATTAGACTGCTATCTGAACTTTTCAGATTTGGTTTCATAATGGACATTTAATGGCCAACAGGTGAAGAAGCATACTTGTTTACATTATACAAAAGAAAAGTTTTTAGAAGAATTAATAAACAGTTCAAAGGTTTTTATAAATTTATAATTTACAATAAAATTAGTAATTAATTCTTAATTCCGTTGCACATAGCAGTTTTCAACGAACTTAAATTTTAAGTATTATAGCAAGTAAATACAGTTAACTCTCTCTATATAAGACGATCATACACCGATCCAGACGATTTTAGTGTTCAGTGGAAGGCCTAGTATCGTTTAGTCGTTTCCTGTTTCATTCCGAGCTCGAAATAGTGCCTTTTCGTCCGCTGCCTTCCCCCACCTATTCTCTCTTTTCCGTTTCATCACTCTTTGAAAAGTCACTTTACGATAAAACGAAAACCTGTTTTTGTCAATTAAAAGTGTTCAGCCGTACTAATGAATGAAATGAGCCTTACTAATTTGACCTTACTTAGCTTTTGCTTGCTAATGTTTATTAAACATTTCTTTTAAATTAATTATTCTAGAGAACAATTAATTTCAGGTACGTTGAAAAACTGTATATCTGAATCTAGTTACGTTTTTGTCATTATTGTATTGTACCATTTTTAGCCCAAAGGACGTTAGCCCAGAAAGGATAGTAATTTCGTTCTGGCATTTTGCACGAAAACTTTATTTGTCCGTTTCACATTTCAAATTGTTGCCACCAAATATTATCGCCCTGCGTTATATTTAAAGAAATTAATTAATGAAGAATCTGCATAAATGTATGTATATTTCTCGAATTATGATAAGACAACGGTATCTAGAGTCATCAAATTTTGAATAACTTAATAATCCTTCACCGAAAATGGGCATCTGGAAGCCCTAATTGGGAATTTGTTTTGTTATCGATTTCAGATTTTGTAAAGCATTTATGAGTTTTTGATTAAGAAACCGAACGATTTCAAAACGAGCAATGGCAACACTGTACGGGGAAAAAAAAAAAATCTCCAGAGCGCGAGACTGTGTATCGGAAATTCTAAAGATATGCTCATTTTAAAGTTATTTTGCGATATTGCTCTTGAACTGAATTTTATGGTTTAGGTGCGAAGAACATGATATTTAATAAAATAAAGGTAACACACAAAACGTTTTAAAAACGCCCTTTTGGGCGTAATGTAAAATTTGAAAGCTTTCAGATTTTTACATTTGAATTAAATTAAAATGTAGTTAAACATGAAACACTAATATGCATATAAATGCATATGTATTACACGTAATTACACATTTATAAACGCAATTTTTTTAATGCCGTGCATTTCTAAAGCAATAGAACCACGGTTCCCCTGCTTTGAAAAAAATAAATAAATAAATAAATAAATAAAAAATGCAACAAATGTCTAATTAAGATTAATGAAAATGCTTTATTAAAAGTACAATGAACTTCTCTTTGAAAGCGACAGTCTGGTGTTCTAGAGGATTTTAGAATTACGTGGATGTGGTACTTTTAAAAAGGTGATGTTACACTGCAAGGAGCTTCTTGACAAATAGTGTGATTACTATCCGTTTTTAAATTTCTTGTTAATGTATGTAATCTACCTTCAAATATTACAGCTGGATTTACAGCTTCAAATATTACGTCCAATTTCAAAAAATTTAAGTTCATGATCACGTTTTAAATCGAAATGAATGAAAATATCAAGAGGAAAATTCATCACATATAATTGAAAATGCAACTGCATTTAACATTTGCTCATCGTTTTGAAATTACTTCAGAGTAAATGGTGTATTGATTACACTGTTAAGTGTAACACACCAAATGGCATTTATGAGTAATATTCTCTGTCTTAAAAAATGACCCAAGCAACAACGACTTTTAGAAAAGGAGAGGAATCTAGAAAATTTCAGCCCTCCATCAGTAGGAAGGAGTACTGATGAAGGAGATGGGGCAGAGCAGAGGATGAAACAGGAAAGATTTTGTAAGCAGAGTTTACTGATGAGGGATAGCAGCGGCTGAATCGGCACGGTTTGACCACAGGATGAAACAGGAAAGGATGAAACGGGAAATCCCTCTGTGCAAGTGGTTAACTTTGAGAGATGATATTCGATGCTGGTAACGATTTACCCCTTAAAATTACATTCGCTGTCGGAAATAGAGAAAACTTGCAAAGGTAACCGTCTGCACAATATAGTCACCATAAAAAGGTTCACTACATTAACATGCCTACAGTGATAAAAATCAAATTCATGAAAAATTGGTATGTGATGCGTAATTTTTGAGGTTTGAATTCAGAATCCAAAACTACGCGCTGTGTATGCTATGCAACTAATTAAAAAAGATCATATAACACAAGACTATAAAGAAAATAATTATGCAAATAAACATGTTCGGAATGACATACCTTACAAAATTTAGCGGACGTTTCATGTTCATTACTGACGCTGCAAATATGTTCCATATCCAGTTATTATCAACGCTTTTAAAGCCGTTTAAAAATCCCTTTGTGTTGTACCCAACGTCCTTTCACATAGACGACAATCAACAGAAACGAGCCTCGAATTTTAATATTTACGCTTATCTATCCTATTATGCCACTCAAGAGGAAATGCTCTTTAAACATGTTCTCTGTTAAGCGGGCTACATAACTTAATTACTCACGCCCTTTTCAACAAAGATCGTTCAGAATGCTAAATGTGATGTTGATATACAGTTTCTCTGTCTGGATATTTACTCTTTTACATGAATTTTTAATGTTTTCAGCATTATTTAAGACTTACGGTTTTGTAACTGTAACAGTAGAGACGCAGAAAAAATTTAAAACAGTTGCAGCCACCGTAAGACGCCCACATGTGATACCAGGCGATTTGGTGTTTTGTGTAAGTCGTCGCCAAAGAAAGATGATGACCATAATGTTCAATATTGTTTACATCCTCAAAAATACTTACTTTACAAAAATTACTTTCAAAACTGGTCATCTTAAAGAGGTGATCACCAAGACAGGGCTCAAAGTATTTTTAAGCAAATTTAATGAGCTGCTTACAAATATTGAATTTTAAATACCTCAAAACTTCTTTAGGTTTTTATTGTTTTTAGTTTGCACGTTTGGTATCCTGGCGAAATAGAAAGTATTGCCATGTGTGGAATATTCCCACGTATGGGAAATATTTTTTGCAAATCTCGTATGCATACGATTTAGTAAAAATAATTGCGCAAATGCGTCTTCAATACAAAAGTACAGGGTGTTCATAATTAAACTTGAAATTTGCGAGCAGTCTGTAGAAAAAACGTTTTCAGCAGAATTACACGAAAATTGGTTAATGGCAGAATGAAAATAATAGAAATTTTATCGAGTAGGAAAAAAAATAATGAGGTTCAAAAACCACCACTAGACGGCGTTGTGCAATGTAAACTATTGGCATATGCAAATGTCGTAACCATAGTAATCCTGTACGCGCACAGCAACCCTATAAAGATACGAGAGGCGAACCACAATAATACTCGTCACCTCCTAGTTTGTCCTCCGAAGCCACCCTAAGCATTCAACTCACTGCATCGCTCTTAGTAGCACCTAATGTGACGATAGCCAGAACAAAGCTTGCAAATTTGCAAGCTACTCGCGGCTTAACATCAGAACTGGAACTGGAACTGGCAGTCAAGGAAGATGACGTTGACTCTCCAGGAACGTGCTTTACAGATGAAATTGTTTTACCAAAACGGAGATTCTGCTACCGAAGCTTTGCAGAAATTTCGGTCCATGAAGCGGTTACGAAAAGGACCACTCACTAGTCAAGGACTAACGAACATGATTAGGAAATTTAAAGCAACGGGAACATTGGAGATTCAGCCAGGAAGAGGACGGAAGTGTGTTGCAGCACAGGTAGTGGATGATGTAGCGACGCAAGTGGAGGAAGACAGATTTCAAACTATCGGCAGCACTAGTGTTCGTCGTATTGCAGCATCTGTTGACCAACCTCGTTCCATGGTTCATAAAGCTTCTTCAAAAGGTCTTACGCTACTATCCCTATAAACTGTCGCTAGTGCACCAGCTTTTACCAGCTGATCTGGATAGTCGACAAACTTTTGCGTTGCGGTTTCTTGCGCGAGTTGAGCTCCAGAATGAATGGCCATGGAACATTTTGTGGACTGACGAGGACTACTTTCATATGGAAGGTGCGCACACACAAACAGTTGCCGTATTTGAGCTGCTACAAACCCACATCAGTTTCTACAAATTCCATTACACTCTTCGCATGTAACGGTTTGGTTCAGCTTTACTGCAACCTTCATTGTGGATCCGTTTTTTTTTCGAAGAGCACAGTATCGCAGGGACTGTGACATGCACCGTCACCGGTCAATGATACGCTTCATTTTTAGAGCAGTCCGTTTTTCCGGCTCTTCAGGCAAGGCGATGTGATACAACCACAGTGTTTATGCAAGATGGTGCTCTTCCACACATCGGCCGTTGTGTTAAACAAGCGCTCTGCCGCCATTTCGGTGACGACAGAATCATCAGCCGTCAATTTCCTACAGCTTGGCCTCCTAGATCCTCCGCCTTGAAGCCTTGCGACTTTTGGCTGTGGGGATATCTCAAAGCCATGGTCTACCGTGATTCCATTACATCTTTATCCCACCTTAAACAGAGTGTAGCATGTGCGTAACATTCCCCAGCTCATGCTGCTTTCAACACGTCGATTTTACGCTTCCAGATGGTAGCAGACAATGGTGAATATCATATCGAGCATATTTTGTAAACTTTTGTAAATTATTTATATGTTCTCAATAAAGCTATGATACGCCACCTAGGGGTGGTTTTTGAAACTCATTGTTTTTTTCCCCTCGATAAAATTTCCATCATTTCATTCTGCCATTACCCAATTTTTATGCAATTCCGCTGTACAGTTTTCGCTACAGACTACTAGCAAATTTCAAGTTTAATTATGGGCACCCTGTATTTCCTTTACTAAATAAATGCAGAAGTAATCCCAAAACGTTAATTTACGAGAAAAT